CCCCAAAACCCCAAAACCCCAAAACCCCAAAACCCCAAAACCCCAAGTTCTTGTAAAGTATTGATCTGATTAATTATAATTAATCTTCTAGAGCTGGGTCAAAATCAAATGGCTCAGGAACCTCAAGTTCTTCTTCTAATCCTGGATTTGGTGCATCTAGATCAATTTCTTCATCATCATAGAACTCTTCTTCAACATCTGGTGTGGAATCTTCCAAAATAATGAACCCACCTTGTCTTTCTGGAAGCAAAGGCTTATATCTATTGTCTTCTAAGAAAGCAATGAACTTCTCCTGATGAATTTGAACTCTACTTGGGTTCTTTTTGTCTTCAAACATTGGTTCAGGTTCATTGTTGTCTTCTTCCTCTTTGTTGTCTTCTTTCTTCTCCTCTTCGTCTTCTATGATAGGAGTGTCTTCCTTCTTTTCATCTGGTTTAGGAGTGTCCACATCCATCTTTTCATTTTCAGCCTTTCTTTTATCTTTAATCTGCTTTTTAGCTGTGGTTGAGAGGACTGCTGTCTCTACTTTCTCTTTTGTCTTTTTCTCTTCTTCTTTTAGAAAATCTGGATATTTAAATTCGGATGCCCTCATGTTGCTTCTGAAAGTAAAACCTTTTGGAACTTTTAAGTCTTTATTCAATCCATGTAGTGATGTTGGAGAGAGACTTAAAGCGAGGAAATGTAAGCATGGATACCAGTACCAATGGTGAGTAAATAGGGCTAATCCAATAATCGAAGCCATTTTGTTGTTACCAGATCTTGTTTGTAAAGTGATTGTGGTGTTTCTTCCTCCAGCATTAAGGATTCCGGTACCTAAAATCGCACCCATCTTAGCAAGAACTTCTTCATGCTTTGTTCCGATAATCTTGGCGTAGAGTTTGTTAATCTTTGCAACTTTAGGCTCAAAAGTATCTGCAATTTGAATGAAAATGATAGACATAGCAATTAAAGCTCCTTGTCTGACGAAAGCAGTATTGTCTCTTGCAAGCTTAGTTAAGATAGGAAGAGTTTGCAACATTCCAGTACCAGCACATCCAATTGCTAAAGCCATAGCAACACCATATCTTGTATGAGGATTGTAACTTTCAGATAATAGATCTAAAATCTCTGGAAGTCTTTCTGGTGTCTTGAATAATAAAAATCCAAGATTAATAACAGCAGCTCTCCTTACATCATCAATCACATCTGACACTGCAAAATGCAATAGTTTCTTAATAGCAAAGTTGTTTCCAGTTCCAGCATAGGCAAGACCAATGGTAAACATACCTCCATATCTGAGTATTCCATCTTTGCTGAGTGAAAGTTGCTCAATAAGACCGTCAGCAGTTTCTTCTTTCTCATACATAATTAGAGAAAGTCCTAGAGCTAATGCTCTAATGATCTTCTCGTGGCTAGTGTCATTAGCATATGTGATCATTTCGCTTATAGATTCTTCATTAGCTGTTCCTAGTCTAACAAGACCCATTCCTAGAGCTGCAGCTTCTCCAGCAACTGCAGAATCACTATACAGCACGTTCTTAAGTTCTCTGTAAACATTGTCGTTGTTAGTAGCCATTGAGACGAGTCCAAGACCAAGACCAACACCATGTTGAATATTTTCATTGTTTCCTGAATTTCTAAACCCATTTGTTAAGAACTCAGCTTTTTCAGGGGTATATTGATTAGCATTAATCAATCCATAAGCATAGTATGCTCCAGATGTGGAATAAGGAGATGCTTGTGGTCCAGTACCGTTGATGTATGGGTTGAGAATCTCTTCAGCGTCTTTGCAATTTCCCATATGAATCATACCAATACTTGCAGTTGCACTGAATCTATTCCAGTTTGTTGCTTTAGCAACCCAATTTAAGTTTTCTCTTAAGAAAGAGTCGTTAGTGGTTAATGAGTTCATGATTCCATTAGCCCATACACATGCTCCATGAGTGATAGAATTTTTAGTTCCAACGTCCTCCATAAGATGCTTTAGCATAAGCATGTCTGTATGGTTATTCTTTTTCAAGAATTGGAGACTCAGCTTTCTTGGCACTTCATTCCTCAAAATAGCACTTAAAGCATTTATTCTACTATTGTTCGATCCACTTAGAAGACCAACAACATCATTTAGGAACGATTGATTTTCAGTATCTACAAGATCAAAGGCAATTTGGTAAGCTTTCAAGTATTCTGAGTCAATATCAAGAAGATTTGAAAGCACTTTAGCAGCTGCTTCAGGAGCTCTTAAGAAGAATTGGCATTTTGTCAAGTTGAAGTAATTAACTTTTCCTTCTCCTTGTTGTTCATAAAGCTTGACTAAAAGATTCAAAACAGCAAGTCTGAATTCTTTGTTGTCGATGATATCTTCAGAGATTTTGTAAGTATAGTCAAGCTTCTCTTCTATGTTTCCTGATTGAAGGATAGCTTTCTCGACAACATCTAGTCTTCTTGCTTCTAGAGCCAATCCAATTGCTTGGTCCCATTCTGCATCAGAGAAGCATCTTTCAAACATTTTGTTGACAATATCTTCAAGTTTTTGGTCGATTTGGACAGAGTTATCTCCTTCACTGATTTGAACTCTTTTCTTAATGTAGAAATCAATGCATTTTGAGATGACTGTGTCTACGTATTGAGATCTTTCCATAATGTCAAATCTTGGGCCAGCTTCAAGAGCAAGTCTGACAGAGTATTCATATTCTTGTAAGTGGTAAAATACCTATAAAGTAAATTTTACTCAATTTGTAAACATTAACTTACTTTCGATGCAACGAATGCTGCTAACTGTCTTTCAGGAAAGCTTTCATCAGAGCTTAAAGCATCACTATATCAATAAATAAAACAACGGATCATTTGAAGTGGGAAAGCCTGAATTGTTACTTTAGAGAACAGAAGTTGAATAATAATCTACCAGGACTAGCTAAATTTTGCTCAGTTTCAGTTTAGGAGAATATTTTGTGGGATGAAAGGCTTAAATACTTCTAAGATCCCATTCATATTTTCTCTAAAAAGTCAAAGCACAATATTCTCAGTAGATTTCATCCTTTGATATAAAAAGTAGACGACAAATGATTTCTAAGAGTTAGGTTACTTACAGTAGGTCCAAATGGTTTGAAATCTCAGGCCAGGTCTGGTCAACTACGAGGGCGAGCTTGTTCAAAGCATATGTCTGAATCCTAACATTATTTTCCTGCATCAGGCTCAAGATTCCTAGAGCAGATTGAGATCTTAACACTGCGGTTGGCATAAATAATTAATTATTATATTTTCAAAAATTTGGTTGAAATAGGGGTTTTGGGGTTTTGGGGTTTTGGGGTTTTGGGG